AAAACTCCAGTATCTCTACAAAAAAAATCTCAAATGGGGTCATGAATAGTCGGACACGACTGAAATGACCCAGTAACAACACCTTACTACCTTACCACCTTGGACACATCAGTTCCCAATTCTGGCCCTCACTTTCCTCACCTATAAATTTCAAGAGTTGAACTAAGTGTCTAAGTTCCTTCCAGGCTTAAATTCAATAATCCTATTTCTATGGAAATCATTTAATTCCATCCCCCAACCCATGAAAAATTTGTAAAAGATCCTTCACAGGCAGGCATTTGACATCTGTTTGGACACCCTCAGTGATGGCCATGGAATCATCTATTTGTCTGAAAAGAATCTGGGAGCTGTAATGGGAGCTCAAATAGAGCAACAATGTGATGTGGCCACCAAAAAAAAAAAAGGAAATGTAATCTTTGGCTGCATTAAGAAAGTCAAGGCTTCCAGGAATAAGGAGGTGATGATCTCATTGTGCTCCTGATCACATCATAGAGGGAAAACTGGGTTCGGTTCTGTATGCCCCAATTTAGGAAAGACATTGATTGACTGGAGAGAATTCCAGAGGAGGGCAACCAGGATGGTGAAGGCCCTTGAGTTCATGCTCTATAAGGATGGGTTAAGGGGAAATAAGAGAAGGATGAAATGAACATGATAGCTACCCTCAAGTATTTAATGGGCTATCACCTAGAATAATTAGCAATAATGACAACAACAATAACAGCAACAACATTTATATAGCACTTACTATGTGCCAGGCACTGTACTAAGCACTTTACAGTTATTATCTCATTTTTAGGGGCATTATATTTATTCTATGTGGCCCCAAGGACTGAACCAGGAGCAATGGATGGAGTTCCAAAGGGGCAGTTGAACTTTATAGCAAGAAAAATTTCCAAACAATGAGAGCTGTCCAAGGTGGAAGAGATTGCCTGGAGAAGTGCTGGCTTCCTCCTCAGGAGTCTTCAAGCAAAAGCTAGACAACCACCATCCCTTTTCAGGTGTGGGTTGGACCAGATAGGCACTGAGGTCCCAACTGGATGACCCAGCAAATCTTAAAGATGATAATATTAGTACTTTAAGGTTTACAAAGCAACTTGCAAAATATTATCACATTTTATCCTCATAACAACTCTGAGAAATAGATGCTATTATTATCCCCATTATACAGATAAGGAAAGTGAAGCAAACAAAAGTTAATCTATCAGCCTAGAATCACACAGCTGTCTGAAGCCAGAATTGAAGTCAAGTCTATCATTAGTCCAGGTCTAGCCTTCTTTTCATTAAGCAACCTAGCTGCCCCTAATGAAAGGAGTAACAATCTAATTCACTAATTATTCAACATGTCTTGGCTTACATTCTTTTGCAGTGGTCACAACCAGCAGCAAAGCCTTGGAGCCAATGACAACTACCGAGAGAAGTGACAGTGAGTGTATCCCACCTGACCCCACTCATTGGATCATAACTTTAGAATTGGGAAGTACCTAGGAAAGCAAGTAGTCCAGTTCCTTCATTTTTCAGATGAGGAAACTGAGATCCAAAGGTCCAGTTCATCCTCGCAGCCCCATTGTTGCTTTCTAGGGCTATGGAGATGGCATGAGGGGACTCTAGCTGCTTTCCGCCAAACCTTCAAGCCCTCCATGTTGTGAATATTTTAAAGCTAAGAATTGCTCACAGAACTATGAGTGCATTTTTGGATGGATGAAGGTTTTAAAAAACCATTTGGCTGGCAAGAAATCATAAACAGCTCAAACATATCTCTATATACAAAGTTTAAAATCAGAGTTATCTTTTCATCCTTTGGGGCCAAGTGGGGACTCCCATGGCTGATTCCTGTGCCGAGAAACCTGCTTTGGAGGGAAGATTTATAAGATGGATTACACAAAGGAAACACTTTGAAACTAGGATCATAGATCCAGAGCTGGCAGGGACCATAGCAGCTGCCATCAATCCCCTCATTTTACACTTAGGGAAACTGAGGCACAGAGCAATTAAATAATTTGTCCAGGGTCACACATCTAGAATGGAGGGATCTGAATAAGGGTTTCCCATGCCCGGTCCACTTTTATCATGTTACATGTTTTTCCCCTTTAGAGCTCTAAACGAACACAAACATCCAATGGACTTTAAGTCTTTCCACCTCTGTATCTTAGTTTCAATTCATTCCAATTCCATAAACATTCCTGCCATCCACAAGGCACTATGTTAGGCACTTGAGGAATCACAAAGATGGGGAATTGTTCCACTGGGCAGGCCATTGTCATGTTTTGATTACTATGCTCAGCCCAAAAGGTAGAAAGCTGGATTTGGGGCAGAGTCCAAAATCAGTGGCCCATCAAATGGCAAGGTGACCAAGGCTGACAGCTGGATCAATATAACCCATGATCTAAGGCAACAGGTCTCAAACTTCATGGTCTCAGGACCTCTTTACACTCTTAAAAATTGAGGACCCTCTACACTCTTAAAAATAATTGAGATTCCTAAAGAACTTTGACTTGTATACATTGTATCTATTGATATTTACCATATTAGATGTTAAAACAGATCATTTTTAAAAAATATTTATTTATAAAGTCATTTTAAAATAATAATATTAAACCCATTATATGTTAACATAAATAGCATATTTTTATGGAAAATAACTATATTTTCCAAAACAAAAAATTTGTGAGTAGTATTGTTTTAGATATTTACAAATTGGGATGGAGGAGAGTGAGGGAGATAGAGAGACAGAGACAGAGGCAGAGAGAAAGAAAGAGAGAGGGAGAGAGAAAGATTTACAAATCTTTTTAATGTCTGCCTTCAATAGCAGATAGCTGTATTCTCCTATCTGCTTCTGCATTCAAACTGTTGTAATAGGGCTGTTTTGGTTGAAGGATATGAAGAAAATTTGGCCTCACACAGATATGTGGTTGGAAAAGGGTTTTAATAGGCAAATAACCTTAAAATTATTATTAAAATATTTTAGACTTTAAGGACTCCTAAAAGGGTCTCCACAGATCACACTTCAAGAACCACTGATACAGGGTATGGAGCAGGCTTGACTTGGTGGGCTAGGTGAGTTTACATTCACTCATTCACCAATTAGGACATCTCAGCCCCAGAGAGGGAGTTCCAAAGCTGAGTGAATTAACTTCCTTTAGAAATGAGAGTATGGCTTCTGGAGGTCATGTTCAGAGGTAAGAGGTGCAAAGAAGCAACAAGGTGTGCCATAGTGCACAAAGTATTGGGTCTGGAGTTAGGGAGACCTGAATTCAAATGTGACTTAAAAACTTAACAGCTATGTGATCCTGGGCAAGTCACTTAGCCTGTTTGTCTCAGTTTCCTCATCTATAAAATGGGGATAATAATAGGCCTACCTTGCAGAGTTAAAAGGATCAAATGAGATAATAATGTATAAAGTACTGTGTAAAACTTAAGTAGCTATAACAATGCTAACTATTATTATCTTCAGTATAGCGTGGATTGGGTGTTTGATTAGAGCCAGTTAGAAATAGTGGTCTAGGGGAGTTAGCATTTATGCAGCCCCTAAACATATAGTTGTTATGGTAATCCAGACACTGCCATTGGAAAATAATTACATTAAACCCCAGAATACTACTCTTTAAGGTTTACAGACACTCAAAAGAGATTAGTCTAGCAATCCAAATATGAAAAACCAAGTGGATGCTTCCCAGATTGAGTCAGGTTGTTTGAAAGACAGGCAAGCCATTGAATTAATGCTTCAATCAATTTTGAACAGGGGACTAGAAATGAATAATGAACCTGAATAGAACAGGGGAAAGGGATAGTAATTGATTGCATTTCAGAAACTGAGGAAATTGAGCATCATTTTCAATGATCCCAAGTTGTTTTCTACAGCCAAAGCCTGTCTTTTTAACATGGCTGTCTATCCTCCAAATGATGCTATGTGGTTGTGAATCACTGAACAACACCATATTCTTTGAAGTATCAAAATTGCAGATCTCCCAAAGTAGAAGTAATAAGACACAGTGTGTTATCAATGACGATTTGCATATGTGCTATGGTATCAAAGCATCATCAAAGAAATATATGAATGGAAAATGTGATCTAGCCTTAGAGCAAGAGGTGAGCAGGGGTGTGGGAGCAGGGAGAAGAATTACAGATGGACTACCCACATGTGACCCTGGGATCTGTGAATTATTAAAAGCACTAGATTAATTAAGGCCTCCAGTGCCAAATGCATATCTATGACTGATAATTTATGGAAGAATATGCACAAGTGTTGATGGGCTGAGAGAATGTGGGTAATTTGCATCTGTGCCTGCTGAAAGATTGCCTGCATCACTCAGACCATGGACCCATTGAAGAATCCCATCCAGGGAATTCTTAACCTTTTTGTGCACCCCGGACCCGTCTGGCAGTCTGGTGAAGCTGATGGCCCCTTCTCAGAATCCTAGCTTTAAATAATTAAAGGAAATGCCAAATTTCAGTTAAAGGTTAGTGAAAATAAAATGCAGTTTTTCCCAATCCAAGTTCACAAACCCTTTGAAATCTATCTATGGACCCCTTGAGGGTCCACAAGTCCCTAGCTAAGAACTCCTGATCCGAGTATTTTTAGATTACTAAGACACACAGGAGACCTATATAAAGAACACAATTAAAACAATTGTGACATATGTTAAAGAAAAACAGAATAAAGTTGAACTCATGTGTATAGTAAAAATGTCAGCACAAAGTATTTTCCTCTACGTGGGTAACACAGGGATTATTCTCCCCATGTTACATATGAAGAGACTGAGGCTTAGAGTAACTTTCCCAAGTCCCACTGGGACCCTACTACCTTACATTTGAATAGCCCTTTACAAAGTCCTCTCATACACACACAGTCTCATTTGATCCTGACAACCAGTGGTGTGCAGGTAAATATTTAACAACTGACTCTCCAGAAAAATAAAACACCACCTGCATCAGGACACTCTTTTAAGTTTTATTTGTATTATCGGCATTTTCTCCATCACTTTCTTAAATCTTGAAAATCAACAAAACAATGAAGCCCTGATTTATAGGGTTTGCTGATTTCCAAGGTGTAAATGCTCACAGTGAAAATTTTACAGCCTCCCATCTCAAGCTGGCTCCAGCGCACTCCTACTCACAAATGTGATCATGCAAGAATTGTTACTCCCATTTTACAGAGAAGAAAACTAAGGTTTGGAAAATCTATATGTCTTGCCCAAGGTCACATGGTTAGCAAATGAGAGAAGTAGACTTGAATCCAGTTCTTTGGACACCAATTCTCATGCTCTTTGCAACATAGATGCCACACTGCATATGGTCGGCACTCAAAAATTACATGCTGCTAGATTGGGAAGGGCTCACTCCCTTCTGTGGGCGCCACATGAGGAGATGATATGAACAGCTCCCACCCCTAAGGTGTGATCCAACTTCGTGTCTTATCTGTCGTCTTGGATTAATGTGCCTCCCCTTAAGCAGGAAAGTCAGAATGTCTCGGTTCCATAAATCTGCTCTCAAATTCTTTAAGACATTTCTTCCTGGCATTTCAGGAGAGCTGGCTTAAGGTTCTCTGTCAGGAGAAAAAAACACACACACACACACACACACACACACAGAGGCACATAACTGGAGAAAAAAATATCAGCTCTGCTTGAAAGTCCACCAGCCTAGGTTCTAAGGAAGAAGGCTACTATTTCTCTTCCTGATTGGCACCAAGATACCTCCCAGGTGTAGGGTATGAGCTTTACACCCCCACCCACCCACGTACCCCCATGCCCACTGCCCCAGCCCAGTTTCTTATTGTTTCTACCCACAAGAGAGGTTGAATTGGCCTAGAGGGGTCATACCAGGGACTTCCCCTGGAGCTCCCAAAAAACCTTTCTGGGACTCTGGTGACTCAACATTTGAACCCTGGCTGCTTCAGGTCATGTAGCAGCCCAATGTTGAAAGGATTTATCATTTTTGCATGATGCAGAAAACCCTGAATTGTTCCTTAATCCCTCCCTACCATCCCTGCCACAGGCAGATGGGGTGCTTGTCCATTTAAAATTACAGATACCTGCAATGCTCCCAGGTGACATCATAGAGGTCCAAGACTTCCAGTGATGGGTAAGGAAAGGCTGGCTGTACTCCACCTTACCATCTGAGCACCCACATAGGAACTAAAGAAAAGAACTCTCTTAAGCAAGTTAGTATTTGGACCCCAAATTGCATTTTCTGCTTTGTGTTTCTTTTCCCAAGTAAGTGATCAAACATCATTCTTGAGATGAATGAGTCCAGACTTAGAGGTGATTTGATGAATTCAAGAGATCTGGAAGGTTTGGGTCCAAAGAGTTTTCCAGACTTATAGCACAGGGAACTTTCTTAATTGACAAAGATATCTACCAGCAGGAAGATGACTGGAGGTTATTTGGACAGTGCAGAAGCAAGGTGAAATATGGCCATGGCTATTTCTCAGTCTCACAGATTGCTTTATGTTAAGTTCTGATAAGATTTAAATATCAGCCTCTCAAGAGATTATAATAATAATTACAAGTTAAGTTGCTAAATCCTCTTTTAAGTCATTATGTTAATGTGCTCTGTGAATTCATTACTTTTTCTTTTGAGTATAGGAAATAAATACCTATCCCATACCTGATTTACACTGTATATTAAATATTTTTCTACTTCTCCTTTTGGGGAGACCTAGACATGAGCTAAAATAAATAAATTAAATAAATAAAGCTAAGGCTTAATTTGTCCCCAGGAGTCAGGGTCAGGGTAAAATGAGCCCAAGATTGTGAGGAAAGAGAACCTAATCTCTCTCATTTTGGCCAAACTCCCCCTGGACTGAAAATAATCTGAACTGCCTACGTGGGTCCAGAGCAGAGTGGAGTCCCTTCAGGAGAAGTGGGTGTGGGGGCCCAGGGCGCTTGGCTCCATAGTAGATACTTCCACAGCATCTCTCCCCCTTGTGCCCACTTCTCCTTAATCCTATGGCTGCCCTCAAGTTCAAGCATTCCGCCATCTCTCACCTGGACTCCTGTCATAGATTCCTATTGTATGTTTTTGGTTGGATGGTTAGGATTTTGTTTTGAGGAGAAACTATGATTTCATCGATAGGCATCCTCTCTCCATGCTGTGTACTATATATGGCAACCCCAGGTACACTGAAAAAAGTAGTGACTTGAGTTAGAAGCTCTGGGTTCAAATCCTGACTCTCCCTTTTTTTTTTTACCTATGTTACCTTAGACAAGTTACTACACTTTTCTGAGTATCCTTTTTCCTCTTCTATAAACTGACATTGTTGGATTAGATGATTTCAGAAATATCTTCTCACTCTATCATCCTATCAACCCTCTATATGTTTTTTCATTTTTGTCCATGTTTATTTTTCCTATAAATGCCCCATAAAGCATCTTGCCAACCAATGGGAGGCTTCCCTTTTCTTCTTCTGCTATGGAGATTTTTGTGTCAGTCTTAAAATTCCCTGTACCCAGATGTTTCAAGTTGACAGGCCCCTTGGTTTGTATTACAATTTCTACAGAGTAGCCAGGGTATATTTACTTCTTGTGCCCACAATAAATACATGCTGCTGTTAACAAAGATAAAGGGGTGTGTGTGTGTGTGTGTGTGTGTGTGTGTGTGTGTGTGTGTGTGTGTGTG